ATTAAGGAAACCGCTGTGGTCTATTTCAGAAAGCCACCAACTGACAGGAAGTGTTTGATGAGAACAGAAAGTTTCAAATATGAGACAATTTGAACATCATCTTACATGTTTGACAATATGACTAACTGTTATGACACATTATTGATGAGTCCACAGTCCCATCTGCATATATTCAGTCAGATCTTTGTTAATACATTTGCAAATAAAAAGTTTTTTTTTTTTTTTTTTACACATTTTGAAGAACACCTAACTCTGTAAATTATATTAATATCCTGTCTATGTAAATTCAAAACACTAGAAATTTCCTCATAATAAATTACAGCTATAATATGTTTACATTTATTTAGTTTATAAAATGTGTTTATTCTGTTGTTTTTATTATAAAAAAGTTGCACCTACAAAAATAATAATAATACTTATTATATTATATATAATAATGATATAATTATAAGAATAATTATAATTATTATAATTCTGAACTTTAAAATATATACAGACATTAAATTATTGAAAACAAACTAATAAATATCTTATTAATTAAGTCAAACCTTGATGTTGTTGATGTCGCTCTCTGTGTGGCATCTGTCCATTTCCTGAGTTCTCAATAGGAAGTGAATCTTCACTGCATGCCTTTATATAGACAGAAAAACAATGTCTGTTTTCTGTGAAATCACATGACATGCCTAAAAGTAAAAATGTCTCTTTTTTTTCTCTCTTCTTTTTTGTACACATTTAATTAATTAATAATTGCATTCTTGTGTGTGCAAACTTCAGAACTGATATTTTTGTCAATAAATTGGTTTTAATTTTGTTCTAATGATGACTCTATCTGATGTTGGTGAATCTATCGACGCTTTCCACACATTTCTAGACAGACATGTTCTGCAAATATACTTGCTACCATTGAAGCGTGTGCTAAAGACCTATAATGACTGGGATTTCAGGCACCTTGACCTCAGTGAGAAGTTCTTTCTGATGTCCTTTTAAAGATGCTAATGATGAAAATAGTTATATAAAGATACTTGTTTGTGTTTTTTTTTTTGGCTGTTTTTAACCCAAACTCATGCATTCTGTGTTCAATGGTTTTGGTCTTAACTGGCACAAGAACACAAAATATGAGTCATGGCACAATCCTGTGGTGTAAGTGTGACTGACGTGTTATGCCTGTTTCACACACAATCCGTGTATGCGGTGCAGTACCAGCTCACGCTATCGTGCTTTCACATATGCTGTGTTTGCAGTGTGCAACTGATCCGCGGCTGAGCCACAAACACATTTACTCACTGTTTGCATTTCAAATCCAGAAGTTATCAGCAACTTTTATTTAAAAAAGGTTTTGTCAGCATTGCGATTCTCTTTGTACACATGCACTCTTTAATAGACATATTCACGTTTAAAAACAATTTAAACAACGTATTATTCAATGCATTACTTCTAGATAGATTTATATATTAAGAAAATGGTCAAATATTTAACCATGTACTTATGGGTCAATGATGTGGCATGTCAATTCTAGTGTCCAAAGCATATTCATAATATTGAATATGCACTTCATTAAGTGCAAAGCACTTCATTAAGTGACTCAACTTCCACCTCTTTAATGTGAGAATTCATTATAAATAATTAATCTTCAAGGAACTATTGAGCTCAAAAGTCCCAAAATGTCATCAACTGTCCCGGCTTAAAATCTGAATACAAAAATACAACAAGAATTTAAAAACAAAAGTATTTAAAATCTACTTGGGCATAATTGTATCGATGTTTTCAACGACACCTACAAATAAAGTGATAACAATAACATTTTTATAACAGAAAGACGTTTGTCTCCTAATTGTGATTTCTCTAATGTCATTCCAGGATAACAGACATCAATGACCATAATGCATTTTAGTATGTCATGTGACATAATATTGTATCAAAAAGAAGACCCTGAAGGAGCAACAGAACATGTGCAAAGGTCAGTAAGCCTCTTTCAAAATGATGATATTTTGACCTTTTTGGTCACTAATAAAACATTTATAATGTTTTTATATTAAATCTATTTGATCTAAAAGATTACCTTAAGTGATGATAGCTAAGTTGAAGTTTTCCATAGGTGGTTGATTATAAAGATTCTTTATTTTTTTTTTGTCATTCATGTCTCGAAACTCTCGAAGGTGATTGGCCAATTTCAATTTACGCACCCCTGCAAACAAAGTCTGTTTTAACTACGACCCACATAAAGCACATAAATGGCAAATTTCCTCTTCCAAACACCTGGGCGGCCGGGTCCCCGATATACGGTGGTCCGCCCCCAGACTTCATTCAACCCCTACACTGTAAAAAAAGATTAGTTGACTCAACTTAACTAAGTCAAGTCATCTTTTTGCTTTGACTGAGTTAATTTGAGTCAACTTATAGTGTCAAGTTTATTACACTTCAAAACACGAATTGATGCAACATGCAGTCTGTTGAGTCAACTTCCTGTATCAAGTAATGTGGACTGGAAAACATTACTTAAGAGAACTAAAAAAAAAGATGTTGGTTGAACTTATGTTGGTAAATGGACTGCATTTATATAGTGCTTTAAACAGACCCATGGCCACCAAAGCGCTTATAGACAATTATAGCGGTTAAATGATCATTTGTTCATTGAAGTAAATGGAAGTAAAAGGTTATTTCTAATCCACAACAATGTTGAATAAAATATTATTACACATCTGATTCATAAAAACAAATGCTAAGTGTCTCCGGGAATCACTGAAATCTTTTAGTCTGACAGTTTCAGACCAAATTTTAATGATCCGTCTATAAATTAACAAATGTGGGATTGCTTTCATTGTCATTTAAAAAAAGAAAGATAACATGTTTGCCTTGATAATTGTTTTAAAGCGTGGTAAAAAAAGTGTAGGAACCCTGAATTTTGTTTATTTTTAAATATTGATTCGTGTATAAAAATAGAAATAAAAAAAATGAATGAATTCATGTCACCTCAAGTGCCATTTCATAATACACCACGATTATAAAACAGAACATGCATGTTACAGCTATACATTGAATTTCCATGTTTGCCTGCATTCCCTAGTTTATTCCCTTGGTTACTGATTATGTTCATCTGTCAATCATTATGTCTCCGTGTATTTAAGCCTTGATTATCTCTAGTTCTGTGTCCTGTATCATCAATGTTAATGTGGTTGAGTTATTTTCCTGGGATCTCCTGAGTTTTCGGTTTTTGATTTGTGCGCTTTATTACACCCACACGTGACATCAGAATACTAAGCAGAAATGTACATTTTAATGCACTAGTACCTATTAGGTTCAGGATATCTTTGGTCTAAAAAGTTACTAGGAACTAAAAAATAAGTAGGCTTACTAGTTCTAATTTGTCTTAAGTTTAATTAAATATAAACTATTGGAATAAGAAGTAGTATCTAATGAATAAGTAGGCTACTAGTATCTTTAAAAAGGCACTAGTACTTAAAGAATAAATACTAAGCACTAGTAGCATGAAAATAGATACTAGTTATGAGGGTTAAATGTTAAAACGGCTTTAAAAATGCAGGGTTGTTTCAACCCAAATTTGGGTGAAATATGGACAAACCTTGCAACTGGGTTACATTTTTTTTAACCCAACAGTTGGGTTTGTCCATATTTGACCCAAATTTGGGTTGAAACAACCCTGCATTTTGAGAGTGTAATGATAGTGGTGAGACCCTCACACAATATTTATGCCCTATATGCCTTAACCCTTTTAGTTATTCTTTGTGGGTGTGTAATTTAAAGGTGCTCTAAGTGATGTCACGCGTTTTTTAGGCCAAAACATTTTTTGTCACATACAGCAAACATCTCCTCACTATCCGCTGGCTGCCTGTCCCCTGAACACACTGTAAAGAAACACGATCTCTGTAGACAGCCCAGGCTCCACAAACAGCAACAAAAACAAACTGGGCTAACCCGCTCCACGAAACATAAGAAACAGTTCCAGCCAATCACCGACAAGAAGGACTTGGGGGCGGGGTTTGGGGGGTTAGTGCACGGATGAGGAGGAGGGAGGGTCTAGCTAGCCTCCGTTTTGTTTGACAATACTTAAAACGTCAACAAGAAATGACGTCACCCGACATCACTTAGAGAACCTTTAAAGGGATACTCCACTTTTTTTGGAAATAGGCTCAATTTACAACTCCCCCAGAGTTAAACTGTTGAGTTTTACCGTTTTTGAATCCATTCAGCCGATCTCCGGTTCTGGCGGTACCACTTTTAGCATAGCTTAGCATACATAATTGAAGTGGACAAGACCATTAGCATTTCTCATTAAAAAATGACCAAAGTGTTTTGATATTTTTCCTATTTAAAACTTGACTCTTCTGTAGTTACATCGTGCACTAAGACCGACGGAAAATGTAAAGTTGCGATTTTCTAGGCTGATATGGCTAGGAACTATACTCTCATTCCTGCGTAATAATCAAGAAACTTCACTGCTGTACCATGAGAGCAGCAGGCGTAATGATATGACGCAGCGCCTGAAAATAGTTCCGTTGTGTTGACGGAAGGTGGCCTATTTTCAGGCGCTGCGTCATATCATTACGCCTGCTGCTCTCATGGTACGGCAGTGAAGTTTCTTGATTATTACGCAGGAATGAGAGTATAGTTCCTAGCCATATCAGCCTAGAAAATCGCAACTTTACATTTTCCGTCGGTCTTAGTGCACGATGTAACTACAGAAGAGTCAAGTTTTAAATAGGAAAAATATCGAAACCCTTTGGTGATTTTTAAATGAGAAATGCTAATGGTCTTGTCCACTTCAATGATGTATGCTAAGCTATGCTAAAAGTGGTACCGCCAGAACCGGAGATCGGCTGAATGGATTCAAAAACGGTAAAACTCAACAGTTTAACTCTGGGGGAGTTGTAAAATGAGCCTATTTCCAAAAAAAGTGGAGTATCCCTTTAAGGGAGATTGCATTAACTACATTCTGATACGGACATAGAAAACTGGATTCTGCCAATATAAAATTGCCCACATAGCTTTAATATTACTTTTATTGATTTGCAATTCAGCAATTGTTACTGACAGACAACTGACAGCAAGTCATGAACAGATTAAAGCACACAAACCAACATCGAACCAAAATCAACATGTTGCTGAAATAAAAAGTGTAAAATCTTACATATTAAGATAAAGTAAGCGCCCTATTTAGAAAACTTGAGAACAAAGGGTCCAATACAGTGATAATAACAAATCAAACTGCTCTCATAATTCGCAAGATTATCATAATGGTACATCTGAATGGAAAACCCTAAACAGGCGTTTCCTTAATCTGTGCCATGCGATATTCCTTCACAGCCTTCTTTGTATTCAGATCTGGCTTTAAGTGGGATATCTGTAGCACATCTTCCGTCAGTGGATCAGTACTTCCATGCCTGAAGTAATAATGACAGTCAAAAATGTCACATAAAACCATCCATTTTCCCTCCACACACTTATATTATATCTGGTAAATTCATCCATTTTAATCCTGAGAGAATTTTTTTCCAGAATAATCTGCTTTATATTTAAAGATAATGCTATCGTTAACATTTTAGTTGTGGATAACTTACAGCTTCAAATGATCCTCAATAGCGCTGCGCTCATACACCATCCCATCTGTAGTTTTCACTGGATCAACAAACAACTTGTGTGACAGAGGACAAGTTAAAGTAGGAGGAGTGACAATTTTCTGCAACTCTGGACCTACATATTTCTAAAAAAAAGAGAGAAAGAAAATTATTTAGAATATACTTATATATATATATATATGTGAGTAAACAATTTCAATGAACTCAAAAATTAAGGCAACAGGCAACCAGGTTAACTTGCCTTTTTAAGTTAAACCAACAGTACTTTTATACAGTGTAGGAAGGAGGCGTTTGTAAACTTCATGAAATTACCTTTTCCAAGTCATCCAAGGAGGAACTGGCATACATCTTTGTACTTTTCTTGGCTTCTTCCTCATATTTGTGTTTGTTGGACTGGAATTCTTCAGCCAAAATGCTTTAAAAACATAGCATAATGTTTACATTATGACTTTTTGACTACTTTATTAAAAATCTAAAAATCTCAAAACTAGAAGACTATATGTTCTGTTTACCTGTCAAGAGGATCCTCTGGTTCTGGAGCGATCAAGAGCCCGAATATCGCATCCAGAATCTCTCTCATGGTAATGTGGGCCGAGTAATTTCGATCAAATATGTTGTGACAGATTCTTCCCACATTGTTCACATTGCAATGGTAAACCTTTGTAAAAAAGTAGTTAAGGGACTAATAAAAACGAAATGTGGAGAAAAATGCAAGTAATTTATGTTAATTTATTGTTATGCTTCATTGAAAATTCTCATTTTGTGGTGTTTAAACTGGGTGAATGTCTATGTCCCCTATCTGTAACTGCTGAAAGACTCAAAATCAATCTATTAGTTCATCAGATCTAGAATGGATGAACCACATGTGAGGAGAGTAGTGAAAAAAAGGATACAGGGGTGACGAATCTCATGAGAGGTGGTTTCACTGGGTATTCAGGACCGAACTCACAGTACAGCTCAAAGACTCCGTCTTCATACGGGGTATCAGGTGGACCTTTCATGAGCATCTTCCAGAAAGCTGAAGAACAAAACTATTATTTAACAGCACACTAGCTGATATTGAAGGTATATGAATACAAGCATTTGGTGGCCTGTCTGGATATTGTCTTTTTGATTTGACACATTAAAACAAAAATTGTTAAAGATCACACACTGTGTTTATTACTGATATTGGTTATCTTTACACAGTGTTTGAGTGAAAGCACACACATTTTTTTTTATTAGTCGTTCTAGAAAAAGACTACATGGTGAAGACACCTGATGGTAACGAGCAGAATCACTGAAGGAGAAAAACTTAATTTTAAGTCACCATTATGGTGATCAGTATTTGTTTTAGTTGGGCTCGTGACCCTTAAATCATTAACTTTAGATTCAGTTTGGCAGTGATTACCATAATGGTGATTTAAAATTATGTTTTTCTCCTTAAGTGATTCTGCTCGTTACCATCAGGTGTCTTCAATGTTGGCACTAAAAAATAAAAGACTTCTTACTAATTTGACGTTAGTCTGTTATTCAGATATTTTTGTTTAAATTTGTTTTTTTAAATTTTACTCATTTTAAATGGTTAACTTTTAAGGAATTAATTTGGCAAATTTTTACTCAATTCTAATTTGTTAAATTTAATTAATAATATTGCTTGTAATCTGCTGCCTCAATTTGATTGATTAGATATAGCTTATTCATTCATATTCATTTTTACAGTGTATGTGAAGTCACATTACTTATTTTTATAATTGATATTATTCAATCATTTAATCCATGCAAGCCATAAGCAGTAAATTCATTATTATCAATATTAAACATTAATTTCTTACCCACATCTGCCTCGGAGGGCAGCACTGTGCAGAACGGATGAGGGTCACAGTGGAGATTCTTGAGCTCTTCCAAGATCCTCTTGTCCTTCTCCAGAAAGATGCCCGTCTTGGACTCCAAGATCCTCTTTTTCAAAGCACTGCAATAAGTTTTGCATAGATGGTGAGACACTTACATTTTCAATATTATTAAAACAATATTATTTGCAACCCATGATGAACATCGCAATCCCATTAAGTTTATTTGACTCAGTGTAAAGAAATAAATCACTAAATTACAGTAGTCAATGAAGTTTAATGTTTGGTATCTGAACAGCCTTAAATTTTTAATTAAAAGAATACATTCAGACAAAAAAAATCTAAGTTTTTAATCAAGTAAAGTACGTTTAGTGCCTTTAAATGTTGAATGGACTTTTTCTTTAACAATTTCTTTCCAAATTTTTTATTTTAACTTGTTTCTAATTTAAAGGTATTGTAGGTAGGAATTTTATAAAAAAAACTTTTCCAAATTTGTTTAAACTTTCTGTATATATCCATGCATAATTAAAATGTAAGTACTCTGAAAAAGAAAGTATAAAAATCGAGTGTCTGTAGACCTCTCACGACTGTTTTAAAGACAGCTCATTATTTCCATTCACTCCACCCCCTCCCTTCTGGGCTCCTTCCAAAGCCACGCCCCCAAAACACATGAACGCGCGACTCCGACCGCTGAGCTGAAGACGCATTATTTACCTGAGACGAGCGGAGAGGAAGGAGCGCAGTGCATGTAGTGACATCATGTCAGAATCACATGTAATAAAAAAATCTAACTTTATCATTATGAAGATAAACAAATAAGATGTATTTTAAAATATATATTTATTGATTCGCTAACGAGCTAGTTATCTATAAGGCAAAGCTAAAAACAGGTTGCATGATACACGTTTTTCCATTACCATCATTTACACTGTGATGAAGATGAATTTCGTGTAACATTCATAACATGGTGTTCTGCATGTAAGAGTTTCCATGATGAAAGCATTGTGGACTCTGATGAGGACTACACTCCAGAGACAAGTACCGCATCGTCAGCTCGAGGACAGATCCGAGGTCGAGGGCGAAGCAGAGGAGGTCGTCACAAGGCGTCACTTTTAAGCCCCTTGAGGTCTCTCAGTTCTCGCCATCGCTGGAAAGCCACGCCGATATTGACACGCGTTTTATTTCGTTGGTTATCCAAAGACTTTTTGTTCATTACCTTTTCTAGTAACATTACTGTCTTCCTTTTTTTGCCTGGTTTGCCTTCGCGAACTGCATATGTGAATTTTGATTGGGCTTTCTCTGCCATTGTTTTGCTATTCCTAGGGTCCGTGCCTCTTGAATTCCTCAAATCAAACGGGTACGCGCAAGTGGGCAGGTCCTGTGTGTCAAAAGGGTGGTTGCCATGGTTGCGAGAGAGTGATAGTCGCCTAAGCCAATCCTTTGTTTCGTCCCGGATGGAAATAATGAGCTGTGTTTAGTGCAGATTAAACGGTCTAGAGTCACTCGGTTTTTATACTCTTTTTATCAGAGTACTTACATTTTAAAAATGCATTGATATATACAGAAAGTTTAAACAAATTTGGAGAAAAGTGTTTTATAAAATTCCTACCTACAATACCTTAATTTAATACTGATAAATCAATGTCCTTGTATATTAAGCTAAATTCTCCAAAACATCCTAAAGCTCTTACTTCTTTGTCAGTGTCACTTTGTTGTGTATCTGTGGAGGTAATTTAACCTCTGGTTTGATATCATAACCACAGGTCCCAAAAATGTTGAGGTCATCCTATGAAATACAGCAATAAAAACAATCGGTGACAGCTTAAAATTTTACTTTTTTGCATCATGTTTTCAGTCTATTGTCATACTTTTCCCACATTTTAGCAAACTACATGACAATCTATGACTAACATATAATCTTTATGACTCAAATATATACAGCGGGGGAAATAAGTATTGAACACGTCACCATTTTTCTCAGTAAATATATTTCCAAAGGTGCTACTGACATGAAATTTTCACCAGATGTTGATAACAACCCAATGAATCAGTACATACAAAGAAACCAAAACAAATAAGCTCAGAAATTAAGTTATGTGTAATAATATGAAATGACACAGGGAAAAAGTATTGAACACATGAAGAAAGGGAGGTGCAAAAAGGCATGGAAAGCCAAGACAACAGCTTAAAACTATTAGTAATTAAAAAGCAATCCAACCCCCTGTCCGTGCACATTAATAACAGCTGGTTCAGTCCCAACGGATGGCCTACAAAAAGGTCTCATTGCCAAGGTGTCACACAAGACACATCTCATGATGGGTAAAAGCAAAGAGCTGTCTCAAGACCTTCGCAACCTAATTGTTCCAAAACATAATGATGGCATTGGTTATAGGCACCATTCTAAGCTTCTGAATGTTCCAGTGAGCGCTGTTGGGGCCATAATACGGAAGTGGAAAGACAATCATTTCACCATAAATTTGCCTCAACCACTGCTCCTCGCAAGATTTCAGATAGAGGAGTGAAAAGAATAATCAGAAGAGTTGTCCAAGAGCTAACACCAAGGTGTATGGCGTTTTTAGGGTAATGTGCAGTGCCATTTCTCCTCCAAACATGGTGTGTATTATGGCATCCAAACAATTCAATTTTGCTCTCATGTGACCACACTAAATTCTCCCAGTATTTCCCTGGCTTTTCCAAATGTTGTGCAGCAAACTTTAAACGAGCTTCAACATGCTTTTTTTCTTCAGTAATGGAGTCTTGCGTGGTGAGCGTGCATACGGGCCATGGTGGTGGAGTGCATTACTTACTGTTTTCTTTGAGAACACAGTACCTGCTATCTGCAGGTCTTTTTGAAGCTCTCCACAAGTGATCCTTAGCTCTTGGACAACTCTTCTGATTATTCTTTTAACTCCTCTATCAGAAATCTTGCGAGGAGCAGTGGTTGAGGCAAATTTATGGTGAAATGATTGTCTTTCCACTTCCGTATTATGGCCCCAACAGCGCTCACTGGAACATTCAGAAGCTTAGAATGGTGCCTATAACCAATGCCATCATTATGTGTTGGAACAATTAGGTTGCGAAGGTCTTGAGACAGCTCTTTGCTTTTACCCATCATGAGATGTGTCTTGTGTGACACCTTGGCAATGAGACCTTTTTGTAGGCCATCCGTTGGGACTGAACCAGCTGTTATTAATGTGCACGGACAGGGGGTTGGATTGCTTTTTAATTACTAATAGTTTTAAGCTGTTGTCTTGGCTTTCCATGCCTTTTTGCACCTCCCTTTCTTCATGTGTTCAATACTTTTTCCCTGTGTCATTTCACATTATTACACATAACTTAATTTCTGAGCTTATTTGTTTTGGTTTCTTTGTATGTACTGATTCATTGTGTTGTTATCAACATCTGGTGAAAATTTCATGTCAGTAGCACCTTTGGAAATATATTTACTGAGAAAAATAGTGACGTGTTCAATACTTATTTCCCCCGCTGTATTATCCAAAATACTATACCACTTTGTTAATTGATGATACATCAAAGCATTTCTTTTCCTTCCTCAGCTCCATTGACAAGACCGTCTCCATCTCGAAGAGTTGCAAGGCAGCTTTACTCGTTTCAGGCTTAAAACAGCAACCACCTCAAAACAAAACATTTAGCCAATGAAAACAATATTAAGTGCAGTTGTATAAAAAAAGCCTAGTTACACCAAAGTTACCTGTAACATTGCTGATCCCATGTAACTCAGTGTTATCCACTGCACCGATCAGCACAGCATCAACAACAATTTTTGAATCCATCAACCTTTTTGCAGTGGCAACCGGCATACACATCGATCTGTATTTTGTAAAAATATGATGTCATTTAAAATATTATACTTGTTAAATTCATTTTAACATCTTGCTCTTCAAAATGCATCTTATTCAGTTAAATGTTGCTTATTGCATACAGAATAATTATATAAGTAGTGCACACATGAACTGCAATGTGTTTCGATTTCGACCTTCCCCCATGAGATTCTCCATATGGCTTTAGGAAGATGATTGGTAACACTTTAGAATACATCAATAATTAATAACTACACATGAACTAATGAGTGATGCACTATTAAAGGATGATTCCAGTATTTAGCACTTTGAGTCTATTTTCTAGTTTGTTTTGGATGAACTAGAGTGGTGGACACAAATCTTGACGATGGGTCCTGTCTCGACTTTTTGACTCTTTTAGGATCGCCTCTGACCGCTTCAGAGTGGCTGTCTATGGGCATACTCAAACATCCTTAAAACAACCCTTAACGGTTGTTTTCAAAACTGTGCAACTCACCGAGTGGTTAGTGGTGTATATCGGTGCAATGTATGATTTCAATCCGTGTTATTTGCTATAGTGGAACTATTTTTTCAGATACCTCACAACCGCGTATAAACTTCCGCTCGATATTTGAGTCTGAAGCGTTAGCCCACTCCCGACCACTTGATGGCGACAACCAGTGGTGGAATGTAACGAAGTACAAATACTTTGTTACTTTACTTAAGTACATTTTTCACATATCTTTACTTAAGTACATTTTTCACATATCTTTACTTTACTTAAGTAGAATTAATAGTGCATACTTATTACTTTTACTTCGTTACATTTTGCAGCAATTATTCTACTTTCTACTCCACTACATTTCTACAACGTTCTGTTACATTTTCGTTCCATTTTCTGATCAGTTTTCCCCTGCCAAAACGTCACCCTGACCGTCCGTACGTCGCACGTTTGTCTCACCAGTGAAGTTTGGTTGCCATATCAACCCGGTCACACTAAATCTAAATGCGTCTCTAGCACGCAGTGTGTTTATCGTGCAATTTATAGGTGGAAATTTGTTTTTACGTGCATAGGATACGCATGGGTAGGTTTAGTAGTGGTGTGGGGTGCGTGTGTAGCCTATTATACGTTTGGTTAGGATTAGTATGGCAAGCCAAGAGGTTCAGAATTACGCCATAAATTAATCGCGTTTACAGCCAAGCCCCGTCAAATTAAGCTTGATGTGTATATTGCCTAATTGCAAGCTTGTTCAGAAATGGTGACAAAAACTTAAAAAATAACGGCTTTTCCATCATTATTGAACATCATTATAGGATTATGAGGTTGAATGAGTTAGGATTAACTGTTTTATTAATCATTAGAATATAGAATAAATTGTTATGCAAGTACTTTTACTTTTAATACTTAAAGTACATTTAAAATCAGGTACTTTTTACTTAGGGTTGTCATTGTGGTACTTCTACTTTCACTAAAGTAAATATGTCTCTGGTTATTTGTACTTTTACTTAAGTACTGAGATTCAGTACTTCCTCCACCACTGGCGACAACCACTTTGCCGCAGTTGCTCAGCTCACGCTAGCCTTCTGAGAGACGGAGAACCGAGCGAAAAGACTACAACCAAATGTCCAGACCCCTTTCCGTTTCCGGTAGCGCAGTAATATCAATGAGCACTGAGTCCTCCAGCAGACATCAATGCGATTTTTTAAAATGCCAAATAAAACACGACAGAAACTGTATTTCACTACGCGACTTGTTTTGGAACATCAACAAACACCACAAACCACTCGGTGAGTTGCACAGTTTTGAAAACGACTGTTAAGGGTTGTTTTAAGGACATGTTTGTGCATGCCCATAGACACCCACACTCAAAAAAATGATATGTTGGCTTTACTTAACTTTTTTATGTAAACAGGTTCCACCGGTTCCACATAACTATGTTTCGTTAAACAAACATAATATGTTCATGTAACTTCAACATCATGGAATTTGGTCATTTTAAGCGACCCAATTAAACTCTGAGCTAATGAGTTAATTAAGTGAATAATTGAGTGATGATTGAGCATTATTGAAGACACCTGATGTTAACAAGCAGAATCTCTGAAGGAGAAAACCGGAATGTTTAAGTCACCATTATGGAGATAAGTATTTGTTTTAGTTGGGCTCTTGACCATTAACTTATTAACTTTAGATTTTGTTTGGTTGCTGTACATGAGTTATAACAGCCAGATGAACAATGAACTAAGGAGATCTGATGGTGTTGGTTGTGATTTAATATAATCATTATTTCACAATCATTTGACCTCAATCACTGAACTTATATTGAACCCAATTTCTGAGTTAAGTTTACCTTACTTTCATTGTAGAGCTTACTATTTTTAGGCTTTTCAATGAAATTCAAATGATCAAGTCAAGAAATAAAAAATAAACTTCTTAAAAAATATGTTGAGTAGGCACACACATACATCAAGAATCAGCATATGAATCTCAGCAATGGTGACAAACAGATCATAAGCTCATTATTTATTCATGCAGCAATGCATGATGGGAGCCATGAATGAGTTTTGATTGGTGGCACCCAGAATGCACTGCAAAATGCTTTATAATTGTCACCATTGTTGAGATTCACAGGCTGATTCTTGATGTCTGTGTGTGCCTACTCAATATATTTTTTAGGAAGTTTCTTTTTTATTTATTGATTTGATCATTTGAATTTCATTGAAATGTCTAAAAATAGTATGCTCTACAATGACAATGCTGCTATTATTGGAAAGGTTAACTTGATTCAGAAATTCAGTTTAATATAAGTTCAGTGACTCAGGTCAAATGATTGTGAAATAATGATTATGTTAAAACACAACCAACACCATCAGATGACCTTTGTTTATTGTTCATCCGGCTGTTATAACTCATGTACAGCAACCAAACAAAATCTAAAGTTAATAAGTTAATGGTCAAGAGCCCAACTAAAACACACACTTATCTCCATAATGGTGACTTAAACATTCCGGTTTTCTCCTTCAGAGATTCTGCTTGTTAACATCAGGTGTCTTCAATAATGCTCAATCATCACTCAGTTATTCACTTAATTAACTCATTAGCTCAGAGTTTAATTGGGTCGCTTAAAATGACCAAATTCCATGATGTTGAAGTTACATGAACATATGTTTGTTTAACGAAACATAGTTATGTGGAACCGGTGGAACCTGTTTACATAAAAAAGTTAAGTAAAGCCAACATATCATTTTTTTTAGTGCACTCTGGAGCGGTCAGAGGCGATCCTAAAAGAGTCAAAAAGTCGAGACAGGACCCATCGTCAACATTTCTGTGTCCACCACTCTAGTTCATCCAAAACAAACTAGAAAATAGACTCAAAGTGCTAAATACCGGAATTCTCCTTTAACACTCTAGTAACTACTAACTAACAAGAAACTCAGATTAACGAATTAGTAACGCTGCTATTGTAACAAATCGAATCATCTGAGAAGGATTAATAAAGTATCTGTCTGTCTAGTTATAGGACTCAGTTGAATGTGGTAGTTAATAATTAATGTGAATAATGCATATTTCATTAATTCTAAAGTGAAGGTCATGGTACCCACTAGTAATGCCTCAAGTATTACCAAATCTATCAGAAGGAATAACTATTCAAAACCTTACCAAAAAAAACTCAAAAGCACTTAAAATGATTTCAGTAGAGTTATGTTTTTCACATTAGAATACTGATCCAAATAATTAGCAATTCATTATGAAGGATTTGGTAATATTCGAGTCATTACTACTGGGTTACCATGACTATCACTTATAATTCATTAAATATTATGCATTATTCATATAATATATGAACCTGTATATATAGTCCTCTGGGAGTTATGAAAACAATAGTAGTTATTGATTAGTTAATAGTGAACTACCACATTCCTCTGAACGCTATTACTTACTAATTTATCAATCAGTTTCGTGTTAGTTAATAGTAGTTACTAGAGTGTTAATAGTGCATTACTCATTAATTATTCATTAATGATGGAACAGTATCTAAAGTGTTATATGATGAAGTATATATTTAAGGTACATAAAACTGGTATCAGAGTTCCTGAAAACGCACCCACAATCATTTCCATCTGTCAGGCATAAAATGCGACATCGGCAACCTGGAAATTTCTGTCTGATCTGGTTCAGTTCTTTGCATCCACGATTTAAAGCATCATACAATAAAGTGGCTCCAGACGGCTGAAGTGCATGAACATGCTCCTAAAAACAAGGAAATTACAATGTGTTAAATGTAATTAACTCAGTTTATCCTCAAAAAGGGCTTTTCACACCTAGTCAGCTGTCTAAACAGTTACACTTTCCTGTGTAGATTTATTTTTAAAATGAATATTTTTTTTTTAAATCAATATTTTCCTTTGTATTGTTTTGCTATAAAATTTTTGTTCAAAATGCTTCAGTTGTTACAACATATGGGTGTTGACCCTTTCAAATATATGGTGATAACAAAACAACTAAGATCTAAAACCACTGTACCTTGAAGGTTTCCACTGTTTCTGTGAATGTATGAAGAGTTTTCACTATGGAGTCAAACTTCACAAGGCAAATAACTTGCTCAAAATTATAAGCCATGCATCGGTTGGCAAAGCAATCAAATATTTCTTTGACGGCTTCAATTCTCGTCATTTTGCAGTCTTTGTCGAAACACTCCTCACCCATGGAGGAACTTGAATCAAGAAGTACCTTAAAACAATAATAATTAAATGTCACAGATTACATTAAGAACAATAATATATGAAACATTCTTTTTGACATTTCTATACAATGGTAAAGATACCACAATAGCTTCTTTTGGGGTCTTCGTGACTTTGAAGGTCAGATCATCTCTGACATCTCTCAGTCTAGGGAAACATAATCAAACCAGTCACATGGATATATTTGTAAAGCTTGCATAAGATTAACATTTACGCACGTCAGCACAGTATTGAATGTAGTATTTCTACAATGGATTACAATTTGAATAGGATTATGCATTGTTCAATACTATTGTTCCAAACCATTATAATATCAAAGGTTTACAGATATTTTTATGACCTTGTTGACAGTTATTGAATGTATTAATAGCGCATTATATATATATTAGGGGTTCAGACATCACGGTTCGGTACGATTTCGGTACAATGGAGGGAAAAGCAAAACAAAAATGCGGAAGGCATTGTATTTTTTAAATAAGTTTATTAATAAAGGCATAGAACCAGTTTATTTGTAGTGCACTGACAATAGTTTAATATAATTAGTTTATTAATTAAATTAATAAAAAGACCAAAACACCTTGCGATATGTTTGGTAACTCTACCTGAATTAATTTAAAATTATTTTGCTATTTTTAAGATCAATATATTTGTTTTCCTTAATTTTAATTAACATTATTAATTAACAATGTAACATTATTCTCATGTGAATTATAAATAATTGATTTCTGTATAAAATAATACTACCATTAAAAACACATTCGATTTTCTTTTTTAATCAATGTAGAATGTGTAAGATTAGTGCTCCGAGGACAAGAAATGAAAACCAATGTAATATGACGAATGTCCAAAAGATGGGACCCACAGACTGTTTTGAAATGGAGTTGGATAAATATGTTGTGCTTTTAAAACAGTGTGTGTGTGTGTGTGTGTGTGTGTGTGTGTGTGTGTGTGTGTGTGTGTGTGTGTGTGTGTGTGTGTGTGTGTGTGTGTGTGTGTGTGTGTGTGTGTGTGTGCTTTTGGTTGGGTGACAGTTGTAGTAGCTTACACTTTGACAAGAGTTTACAGTGTGACAAAAGCACAATGTTGTGTTTTATCGTCAAATTCGCGTCTAGTTCGACGCTAGTCCAAAGCGAGCTAAGCCGATGGTACATATTATGTGTCCCTAGAGAACCCGCGTATCTAACAGTAGTTCTGCATTACATTAATTAATTTGCACGCGAGTTTTATTTATTTTTATACCGTGTATTCTCCGTGTAAATTCGTGCACCGAACCATGACGCCCGTACCGTTTCGGTTCAATACGAATACATGTACCGTTCCACCCCTAATATATATATATATAAAATAATAATCATTATATGTATTTGTTACACAGCTCTTTTGAATACTTGATTCTGATTGGAAGCTGCTGTATTTAGAATTATTTTATTAATACAAAATTCCCTGTTAACAAATATGACCCAGCAAGATTACAGTACAAAAATGAGCTCTGGCAATATTCAATTGTGTGACTTTTTATACTTGCACAAAATATTAGATTAAATGAAGATTATATCTTAGATTAAAAGATTAAATGAAGATAAAAATTAAGATAATATGAAAAATGTTTTTCAAAACATTTCATTTATGTGACCATTGAATTCCATTTGAATGGACAAAGAAATTCTCAAAATATCTTCGTTTTGGAACGACTTGTTTGTTTTATAAACAATTTTTGGGGTGAACCAAGGACTATTTCTTGACTAAAATGATGAATAAAGAAGAATACTTACTTATTAGCCAGTTTATCTACGTTCACTGTGATGTACTTTCCAGCAAGAGGGTCAAAAACAACAATCTTTTGAGGACCCCCTTTATCTTTGCCTCTGTACATACCATATTTTTCTATAACAATAAAACATTAGTATATCATTAGAAGAACTGATAATATTCCACACTATATTACTGGTAATACTATTAACTAATAAATGTGACATCAGTTACCGTGACTGAGGAGGATCAAGCGTGGTCCGTCAACTCCAAACTCCTTGAGTTGTAGCGGAGGAGTTACAACCAAATGAGAAAACTCTTCCACTTTCTTGTTCATTTCGGCAAATGTTTCCTCTGGATTGATGTTAAAACTAAAAGAGCATATTTGTCATCAGGATTAGCATTATAGATACCAATAAATCTTTATTTTGCTGAAAAACACAAACTCAATTTCATTAATAAAAAGACAAGGCAAGATAATGTTGACATGATTGATAATGTTGTCTTGTTTTATTTGGAGCATGTTCAAAAATGAACCAATGAATTCAAAAGGGAGATTCAAAAACTGCATTTATTGTGAAAAAAGAACATGTACAAAAAGTCAGTCTAAAAAGAAAACCAGGTCTCAGTGGGATAGTCTCAGGCATCCACAATTTAGTCCAGAAGTGTCTAATCTGCTCCTCGAAGGGCACTATCCAGTGTCATTAAAAAACGACTTTACATTACATGTAAGTGCTGCATTGCTGCATGTGGCCAATCAAATAGAAGCATAAAAGTGGGGCTCTTACTCCATAATTTACTCTCATTTTATTTCACAGACATTATTTTTCTACTAAGTACAAGGGATTTTAATATCTGAGTGGAATTGTCTTTAGTAAATTTGACTCTTAGGTTTTTATAGTGCATTGCTTTTTTCTTCTTGATATTGTGGGAAACTACTGGCAACACTGTTTTTGCATTAAATGGGAGTTTTTATAAAACTGACATGTTTCCATTGGCCTAATTTTCTATTCGCAATTTGTGCAGTTTGAAGGGTAATGGAAACACAACTAGTGACGCCTGTGTGACGTCTTTAGAAAACAATAATTAACATTAACTACTAGGCACTAGCTTAATAACTGCTGAAATGCTGCAAAATAAATGACTTTATTCTATTTATGTATAAATAAGTTAGCATTAGTAATGAATTATTAAAATGTTGGTGTTGCAAACTTTCCTCTTAGGATTGTTTCATTATTCCAAATAAATAGATTTAGATTCACAAATAAATGTAAAGAGATTCACAAAAATGTATAAAATTCACAAATCAATAGATTAAGATCCACTAATAAATGTAAAGAGTTTAACAAAAATGTATAACTCACCAATAAATAAAATGAGATTTGCAAATAAAAAAAATATTTATAAATGTGTGTTGTCAAAAACTCTCTCCCTGGCATATACTTGTGAATCTCTTCTTGTGCATTTGTAAATCTCCTCATGCATTTGTGGATTTCGTAACACGTCGACGTACAGACAAATCCACAAATAAGTGGACTCCACCCACCGTTTACCCAAGCCAATCAGATAACAGCCACATTGAGCTGACCAATCGTAGCACGTTCTCGCTACAACCAATCACGTTAGGCTTTACACTCGGGGCGGGAACTGAATCTGATCAATTTTGCAGATATTTTCACCCCTAAAAGGAGATTCATTCAAATTGGGCTGTTTGTGTGGTTAAAACACCGTTTCCAAAAGATTGTTGGAGTTTAAAGGGATACTCCACTTTTTTTGGAAATAGGCTCATTTTACAACTCCCCCAGAGTTAAACTGTTGAGTTTTACCGTTTTTGAATCCATTCAGCCGATCTCCGGTTCTGGCGGTACCACTTTTAGCATACATCATTGAAGTGGACAAGACCATTAGACTTGACTCTTCTGTAGTTACATCGTGCACTAAGACCTGCTGCACTCATGGTACGGCAGTAAAGTTTCTTGATTATTACGCAGGAATGAGAGTATACCCACATAGCAACATTATTTCGGCCCAGATCCGGCCCGCATCTGGCACTTGTGGGATGCGGATCTGGCCCACATGCAGCATTGAATGACGGCCCTTGGGCCCTTCTCTAGAAGTCTGACAGAAATAAAGTCAGTCTGGTTAGCAATAAGTGAAGCTGGGGCCTGTACCATGAAGGTAGCTGAACAAACTCGGAGTTACAGGATTAGTTTTGAGTTGACAAAACCAAACCGATGCAATCAAGCTTTATTGGTACCATGACGCAGCTCATCAACTTTCTCTGTCAACTCAGGCTTTGATCTTAAGCTATGATTACTCCACGAGCGCGTGCACATCATCATTCAGAATTACGATGAATTTAAATATGTATTAAAAGCTCGAAACAATACGGTCTCTGCTGCCAAAGCAAGAGAAGACTGTTGGAGAAAGATTGCTGATTGTGTTAATGTGTAAGCTAAATAAATACGTTATTTATTCATGTAAAATGATGTATATATAGGCTATGAATGTATGTGTGTGTGAAATATAGCCTATATTTTTATAATATATAAAAAATGTGCATGTATATACTAATAAAGATTAATATTTATTGATTTTTAGATGCAACTCCAAACGTTCTTGGCAGCTGATAAAGACAAATTATAAAAATATAATTCAAAGTAGCCTAGTAAGTATTTACACACAACCTTTTATTATTTTTTTATTAACACTTGTTTGAGGCAAACCGAAAAAAGAGTGAAATTCAGAAAACCAGTGGAGGGCCACTCCTCCAGAATACACTGAGTTGGCTCTGATAGGAATAAGGGACGGCCGATTATGGATGGGATTACAGGTGCTGTACAATCTGACCCTGGTGCCGGCTCCTCGAAGCAAGTAACACTGGGTACGTGTGCGATACATTACTATTTTAAGTTTTAAATATTGCTGACTGTCTCTGCAGTCGAGGGAAATGCAGTGTCCCTGTTGAAGCCATCACACACACACACAGTCTCCCACACAGAGGTCAGTATGCAGCAGACAGAACACCAGAAACATATTGGCCTACTTTTATTTATCAGGGAGGAGGAAATGATGTTCTGGGACAGTTGCTGAGGTGAATGCACTGGGCTTTTTATTAAGGCAAACATTTGAATGTGTGGCATAAAACAGGGACTGGCCCAAGTTACACATCTCTTTTATTGTAGGATTTTTCACAACCTGTCCCAGAAACTGAAGCCTCTACTCAACAGGCTTCAAAAGAAATGTAAGGATTTAAAACCCTTGACATATATTACAGGTGTTTGTCAAGGAACTTTCAAGGAACTTTTTGTGAGTTGATTAGCCTCCCAAAAACTTGTAATGATGCTTGTGGTGGAATTATGTTTCAGGTGGAAACAGACTCAGTCAGGGCCCTTTACAAAAGGAGCCTATGGAGCTAGACTGCACACTAAAGGAGCCTATGGAGCTAGACTGCACACTAAAGGAGCCTATGGAGCTAGACTGCACACTAAAGGAGCCTATGGAGCTAGACTGCACACTAAAGGAGCCTATGGAGCTAGACTGCACACTAAAGGAGCCTATGGAGCTAGACTGCACACTAAAGGAGCCTATGGAGCTAGACTGCACACTAAAGGAGCCTGACTGTGAGCCGAGGAGGCTCCACATTTAAAAAATAAATGCAACAGCTGGATTAAACTGATCTCAGCATGTGAACTTATTTAACCAAGTAACACTTTAGCATGAATATTTATTAATGCAACTTTCTATTGCTTTCAATGCTGCATGTGGGCCAGATCCGCATCCCACAAGTGCCAGATGCGGGCCGGATCTGGGCCGAAATAATGTTGCTATGTGGGTAGTTCCTAGCCTAGAAAATCACAACTTCACATTTTCCGTCGGTCTTAGTGCACGATGTAACTACAGAAGAGTCAAGCTTTAAATAGGAAAAATATCGAATTTTTTTTGGAAATGCTAATGGATTCAAAAATGGTAAAACAGTTTAACTCTGGGGGAGTTGTAAAATGAGCCTATTTCCAAAAAAAGTGGAGTATCCCTTAAAGGCTTCTTTATATTTCCATCAGAATAAACTCAGGATTACACACAAATTATGTTCACTGATCCCGAGCATCCTAACACCCTCTTTACACCGGACTCAAGCAGCGTAAAAAGCAAATAGCCCATTATCTCCCGGCTGCCGTAGCGGTTTCAAGTGTAAATCTAACATGTTTGCAATGTTAACACATTTTGCCCATGACCTCTCATTTCTTACCAAGACCACCCTGACTGTAAAGCCAAACGTGATTTAGCTTTTCTAGAAGATCTAGAAACATTGATGATATGTTGCTTTATTTAACAGACAGTGAGTGTGCAGTTGCTGATGATTTGATGATCTCTTTATTTACAATATTTTTAGGTGGACTCAAATCAAATCAGTTCACAGTAATACTATGCTCACATTATAAATGGTTTTTAAGTTTAAATGGCAGTTGGTCAATTTAGGCAGTCGGTTTCTGCAAATGAAACAAATTAACTCGTTTTAATTTAGTGCATGGTATTTTTACAGTGACACACACTGCAGTGCTAAGCTTACAAACCGACATGAGTGTCATTCTTGTCTTGTAAAATGTATTTGTACAAGGATATCATTGTATAATGTTACCGGTTGTTAATGTTCTTAGGTTGTTGTTTTATGATTAACAAAGTGTGTTTATTGGGTAAAAGCCTGTTCTGGAAGAATGAGTTGATTTGCGACATGAATTAAGTGTTTTTGGTAGTTTTAGTGCATTTTTAAAGTGAAATTAATTGCTGTGCCGAGCTGAAAGTTGGTTAGGAAAAACTTCTGAAGAGTCTTGAAAGTGACCCAAGTATTGAGAAACGTGTCCCAGCGATTGTAAAAATAAATAAATAAAAAGCTTCAGCAGGTGAAAAGTGTGATACCTGGACTCGGGTGTAGTGCCATCATAGTCAGTCCAGAGGGGGACGTATTCAAGGAACGGCGGGAAACTGAGCAGAATCTTTTCAACATCACTGGCTTTTTTGATTGAGGTCTCTTTAAGATTCAGTTCAGTGCAGTTTGGAATAATTCTTCCCTCTAAAAAAATACAAAAATAAAAACAGAATAACACACAAGTATTGTGATAGGGTAGACTGAGTTTACAGAGTTGGGACTATTTTCCTCATTAAGCAAGTTTGAGTCCATATGGCTCCAGGAGTTAATAAAGGCCTTCTGAAGCAAAGCGACATGTTTTTGTAAGAAAAATAAAATTTTATTTTAATTTAAATTCTTGATGCAATGTGTGAACTAGGTCCCTATTGTGTTGAAGAGTAGAGCCTGTGCTTCAGTCCAGGATGAGCAGAGAAACACTGATGATACGCTGCACGATGATTTATTTCTAAAGTTCTTTAAAATAACCCCAAATACTGTAGATGTTTTGTTTAAAAGTAAAATGTTCTTTGGGGAGCTTAAAGGTTAATTCCACCGGTGGAGAGGAGACATGAATTTGTATTGAAAGTGGGTCATATATGTAGTAGAATAGTATCATACATTTCTAATTTGGGTCCTTCTTGGCCGATAAAAGGCAGAAAATGACTTTAGTGCTTGTGGATTGTAGACAACAATCCCCATAGTGCATTGCAATGCTCGGCTCCGCAGGCCACTCCCATTACTCCGCCCATCAATGTAGACTAGAGTGGAGCTCCACTCTACGCTACCGCCTGGAAATCATTTCGCACAATGAAATCAGATAATGCGCGCTAATATAATATGACGACGTAAGAGCGTCAAGGCGGCGCCCGCGCCATCAGCCAATGGATTGGCGTGATTCTATATGGGCTTCAGACAATTGGCACACTTACTCTGACGTGTAATTTTACACGTGAAATGCAGCCAAACCATGGAGCGTTTTGTCTTCGGCATCTTCATTAATCCCCTAGCTATCAGACGTTCTGGGAGTCTCCCGCATATTGATAACGGCTCCCTGATGCGTAAATGAGTTAAAATCTCCCGGAATCTAGAGAGAGTGAGCAAGAGCGCGCATGCGAGACAGATCAGACGAAGGTACTGAATACGCAGACGGATGCATTATGGATAGGGTTGGGTACCGAAACGCGGTGCCAATAGGGAACCGGTTCCGACATAAACGGTAATAACCAGACCGAATAAGAACGAACATTTGGGTGCCTGAGTCTCTGTGTCATGAGGCGCACACACGCAGTGTCTCTCGCTCTCTCCCTCTCTCTCGTGCGCGCACTATACGGTTTGAGGCACAGTCTCCATATTTTCAAAACTGCCGGTGAAATCAAACGCAATGGCACTGATCTGTGATAGGTCTGTTAGCGCATTAGGTCCAACCCCCTATGGACGGGTTTGAAAGGGTGGGATCTAGTGCTTGTAGTCTTTACAGAAATCCCCCCCTCTTACACTTCCTCCTACAATGTCTGGTTATTACCGTTTATGTCGGAACCGGTTCCCTATTAATGTTAAAATTACAAATGATTTACTTTTAGCTTCTGATCAAGGCTGTATCTCAATACTAGTTCTACTCGATCTTAGAGCTGGTTCGACACTATAGATCATAAAATACTCTTGGATCGACTACAAAACTACACTGGTGTTCAGGGACAGGCATTAAGCTGGTTCAGATCGTACTTATCGGACCGTTACCATTTTGTCTGTTTAAATGGGGAAAAATCGAAGATAACGTCAGTAGACTATGGAGTGCCGCAAGGATCGGTGTTAGGCCCTCTGCTATTCTCAATATATATGCTGCCACTTGGTAATATTATAAGAAAACATGGAATTGATTTCCACTGCTATGCTGATGACACTCAAATATATATTTCATCACGACCAGATGAAAACACTAACTAATTGACAGAGTGTCTTAAAGATATAAAATGCTGGATGACCTGTAATTTCCTGCTATTAAATCCAGATAAAACGGAGGTATTACTTATTGGTCCAAAAAACTACCCACAAAATCTCTTACAATACAACTTTAATTAAGAAGGATGTCCTGTTACCTTATCCGCTACAGTAAAAGACCTGGGTGTTATAGTAGACTGCAACTTGTCTTTCGAAAATCATATTTCATATGTTACAAGAACTGCCTTCTTCCACCTTAGAAATATCGCTAAATTACGTAACATGCTATCAGTTTCTGATGCAGAAAAGTTAGTACATGCATTCATGACCGCGAGACTAGATTACTGTAATGCTTTATTAGCTGGTTGTCCTGCATCCTCAATAAACAAGCTACAGTTAGTCCAAAATGCAGCTGCTAGAGTTCTTACTAGATCAAGAAAATATGATCATATAACACCGATTTTATCATCTCTACACTGGTTACCTATTAAGTTCCGTATCAATTACAAAGTACTACTACTGACCTACACTCACCTAAAGGATTATTAGGAACACCTGTTCAATTTCTCATTAATGCAATTATCTAATCAACCAATCACATGGCAGTTGCTTCAATGCATTTAGGGGTGTGGTCCTGGTCAAGACAATCTCCTGAACTCCAAACTGAATGTCAGAATGGGAAAGAAAGGTGATTTAAGCAATTTTGAGCGTGGCATGGTGTTGGTGCCAGACGGGCCGGTCTGAGTATTTCACAATCTGCTCAGTTACTGGGATTTTCATGCACAACCATTTCTAGGGTTTACAAAGAATGGTGTGAAAAGGGAAAAACATCCAGTATACGGCAGTCCTGTGGGCGAAAATAACTTGTTGATGCTAGAGGTCAGAGGAGAATGGGCCGACTGATTCAAGCTGATAGAAGAGCAACTTTGACTGAAATAACCACTAGTTACAACCGAGGTATGCAGCAAAGCATTTGTGAAGCCACAACACACACAACCTTGAGGTGGATGGGCTACAACAGCAGAAGACCCCACCGGGTACCACTCATCTCCACTACAAATAGGAAAAAGAGGCTACAATTTGCAAGAGCTCACCAAAATTGGACAGTTGAAGACTGGAAAAATGTTGCCTGGTCTGATGAGTCTCGATTTCTGTTGAGACATTCAGATGGTAGAGTCAGAATTTGGCGTAAACAGAATGAGAACATGGATCCATCATGCCTTGTTACCACTGTGCAGGCTGGTGGTGGTGGTGTAATGGTGTGGGGGATGTTTTCTTGGCACACTTTAGGCCCCTTAGTGCCAATTGGGCATCGTTTAAATGCCACAGCCTACCTGAGCATTGTTTCTGACCATGTCCATGCCTTTATGGCCACCATGTACCCATCCTCTGATGGCTACTTCCAGCAGGATAATGCACCATGTCACAAAGCTCGAATCATTTCAAATTGGTTTCTTGAACATGACAATGAGTTCACTGTACTAAAATGGCCCCCACAGTCACCAGATCTCAACCCAATAGAGCATCTTTGGGATGTGGTGGAACGGGAGCTTCGTGCCCTGGATGTGCATCCCACAAATCTCCATCAACTGCAAGATGCTATCCTATCAATATGGGCCAACATTTCTAAAGAATGCTTTCAGCACCTTGTTGAATCAATGCCATGTAGAATTAAGGCAGTTCTGAAGGCGAAAGGGGGTCAAACACAGTGTTAGTATGGTGTTCCTAATAATCCTTTAGGTGAGTGTATAAAGCCCTAAATGGTTTAGCTCCTGTGTATTTAATGGACCTTCTATCGCCCTACTATCCATCGCGTTCTTTAAGATCACTAAATTCGAGGCTTCTGGTCATTCCTAGGATATCTAAGTCCACTAAAGGAGGGAGGGCGTTCTCACATTTAGCTCCTAAACTCTGGAATAGCCTTCCTGATACTGTTCGTTGCTCAGACTCACTCTCCCAGTTCAAAACTAGATTAAAGACGCATCTCTTCAGCCAGGCATTCACATAATGCTTACCTTTTATACCACTGTTGAATCAGATCGAATGCATTAATATTATGAACAGCAGCTACGCTAATTATTTCCCATCTGCTTTCCTGCTGTTATCTCGGGACGCTAGTCCCGAGGTAAATAGCGTTCGTCAGCTCCAGTTTGTATCCAGCCTCTCACGGAGACTTCAGATGCCCCAACACCTGCGATGAGACGACTCGACGCCGGCGATATGTTATGCCCTAAATTAATACATGATGATTAACTAACTGTATTTTTCTATGTACATTTCTGAAATGCACTTTCTGTAAAGCTGCTTTGAAACAATATGTATTGTGAAAAGCGCTATACAAATAAATTTGAATTGAATTGAAATGACGTAAAATGACGATTTTTGCGTCATTGTGGGAGGAAGTGAAAAAGGAAAAAGGATTTATCTCGTCTCAGGGGAAAATGAGAATGTTACACGACCATTCAATAGTATGACTGGATTTCTAACAATGGAAATCATAATGCAAATGGGTGGAGTGTCTATGACATCAAGCCGAAAAACCCTTTTTCGTACTTGACACCTTTATTTTTAACAGTGTATATAACCTGCCATGCAGCTAGGATTGCCAACTGTCCCGAATTAGCCGGGACGTCCCGATTATTGGGCATAATTTATTTGTCCCGTTTATTGAGTGCTACACTGATCTGACTGATACAACAGCAACACGACCCTTGAGAATGACCACGAAACCAGTCATCATCTAATCACGCGCTTCATCCAATTTATTGGACCATACTAATAAACTCTAAATTGAGAATTAATTATTCTTTTGGGACAAATTATTTGATTTGCGAACAATCCTCAGCTGTCTGGTCGCTCCCAGTTTGATCCGGACTCGCGCTAACGGCAAATCCCTTTCACTGTCCGGCCGGGTTTTGATTTCAGCAAATCAGTTTTGGTGAATTTAAACAACGTGATTATTGTTCATGAGTCCAACATCCAGCCACGCAAGAAAACATGAAATATTCTCGAGGGAATAATATGCTGATGTGATTTGCTGCCCAAGAAACATGTCTTGTCTTGATGATTAATGTTTAAAAAAAGAAATCAGGATTATTTGATGAATAGAAGCTTCAAAGGAGATTTATCCGATATAAAAAAGCTTTTGTAACATTATAATGCGTCCCTGCTGAATAAAAGTTGGCTATTACTTTCTTTAATTTCTATAAATTGTAGTGTATAATGTTACAAAAGCTTTCTATTTCAGATAAATGTTATTATATTGAACTGTTTTGTGTGACCTTAATTTCTTTTTGAATTAAATTGTACATAACAGGTTAAGCAAAACAAATGTGTTTATGTCTGAGAACCTTTTAAACACACACAAACCTGAAATGACACATACTGTGTGATACAGTACAAATATTTTGAGTGTCCCTTATTTTCCTGAAGAACCTCGATTGTCCCGCATTTTTCTTTTCAGAATTTGGCAACCGTACATACAGCATAAATAAGCAATCAAATGAAAAGTGAAGTCTTTTACCTCTAATGACATCCAGCACATACTCTCTCTCAAACACTTCAGGCACGCCTGGTACACGCACCGGCTCAGAGAAACGCTGATTTGTTGACTTTGCCTTCATGCAAATTGAAGTATAGTTCTCATGCTCTGTGCTCACATCCTGTGAGGAGAAATACTGAAATCACTGAATGATCTGATGCTGTTAACGGTCATTGTTTTGTTGAAATATTGGCATCAAGTAAATGCTGTTGTTAACTTGAAATGCTTTTGGAAAAAAAAGCCTTTTTTTTGCATGGCCTTTTAACACCAATCGTAAAACCTGTCAAAACACTTATTTGAAAACACCTGCACACTATACAATGCAATTATACCTTTGCTTGAGACATGAGGTAGGCCCAGCAAACTGGGGTATACTCAAAAACATCCATGTCCTCAATTACCCTGTCATCAGATCTTTTTGTATGGCTGGGTAACAACTCTCTGAAGAGATAGTACAGTCCTTCAACTATGGCAATCTGTAAGTAGAGGCAATATAATACATTAAGACATTACATAAATGTACATATACAGCATATTTATAGAAACAATATTTATGTAAAATTTTATTTTACCTTCTGGACCCGTGTACCAGTCTTGTTTTGGCAGATAGTCTGATACAAGCTCTGGGCTAAGGCATTGCATCCACTGATTTTCCGAATGTATGCAATCACATTCTTGAATCCCTCTCCTATATTTTTAATTTTCTAGATGTTCAGAATTAGATTGAGTGGAAGCATAGTATTAGATTTACAAACACATTTTTTTAGCCCATTCATGATACATAAGTATAGCCTAATATGGTTTAATGTAGGTCATCTGTTTATGAACCATGTATCAGGTTAGTATAAGATAGGAGAGTTTGCTTTGCTATGCATGCCAGAAGTACGGTGGCCGAGAGCTCAACACACTGCAACTGAAGAAAACGCACGCAAAATAAAAAAAAACAACAGCAAATTAAGAAAACATTCATCAGTTTGAAAACACATGCTGAAAATCCTCACAAAGGATTTGAAACGCAATGGTACAGAAACGCACTGCAATTACTCACTATGCAACCAAATACAGAAACGCACTGCAAATACTCACTATGCAACTAAATACAGAAACACACTGAAATTACTCACTATGCAACCAAATACAGAAACGCACGTATTATCAAACTGATGTTTTCTTAATTATGAATCGCTCCCTATCATCTATATAGTACACTTTATTTGCCATATATACACTATAGTAAATGTGTGATTATGATTCTAGAGTCGAGAGCATTTGACAAACTGTCTTGCCAAAGAAACTATAACATAAGAGCTGGTGTGTAAAGCCAATATTTTGAATGTGATGTGAAGTAATTGTTTTAATGCTGAAAAAAAGTCAAACGAGTAATCAGCAAAGGAAACTTACAATGGCATTCAAAACTGAGAAAAAGGCACTGAGGCCCTTCTCTGTTTGTTTCACTGATGGTGTGACATCACTTTGGCAGAATATAGTCCTCTGCGGTGCTTCATCGTGAAATGAGGACAAAGAGAATTGCAGCACCTCGTCTTCACTGATTGCAAGATTACGTAGTGTATCATTGACTTTACATGCATAGTCTCTGTAAAAGAGAGAAATGTAAAGTATTGATTAAAATTAATAAGATTTAAAATATAGTATTTAGAGTGTTTTGATCTGATATTCCATATTAAAATGAAGCAAATTACTTGAGGTAAAGCACGTGTGAAGGTATTCCACTCTCAAGTGAAAGCCGTCCTCTCAAGTCAGTCAATGTGTCACAATCCAAGTTCACATGGATTTCATACTTGCCCTGTTTATTAAAAAAAAAAAAAAAAAAAAAATTGTATATACCGGTATATATAGTTTTCTGTGTGTACATGTACAATAGTTGTCCATATCTACATGCCTAAATTTAGCCCATGCATGTGCAGAAGTTTAGAGTCTAAAAGTTTTTAGAGACACAGTTGACAGCATTAGTTATAAGTTTTAAATGTATGGTACCATAGACCATGTGACCAGCGGTAACATTTATAAGGGGTTATAAATAGATTTCAACCTCTACAAAATTTGACTTTTGGGGGTTGAATAATTTTGTATATTGGTTAAGGCTAATTAGACCCAAATTTAAACTCTGTAACTCAGCTTTACATTCTCAGAATCACTCGAATGTGTGTAAATTACCCTTCTATGAGGCTTACTAATGGCTGGTACCCTATTCTTAATAAACACCCCAATTAGGTACAGTCCTCCAAAGAAATGTGTATTTTAAATGACTGATGTGTACTTTAAATGACTGATATAGTGCATCTAAAAGGAAAGATGTGAAAATGAATTACAACGAATTGTGCTCACGGTAGAATGACATTAAACCAGTGGCTCATGGTCAGACCTTTCAAACCCAAAGAAGGGGTGATAGTTAAAATAGTGAAACTTTCAATAAGTGAAATATAAAATGTATTGGGGGAGGGGAAAAGCTGCATTTAAATAGATAACATTATTTTTGTCTTGTTACTTTTAGCATCACATGACAGAAGAGACTGTTTGGGCCTTCATTTCTCATGTTGTTTTCCTGGGAGGGTCTGGCAGTTCCTCGTAAGTTTTCTTTTGGTGTAAATATGGCGTAGAGTTCACTCCCATTTTCAATGTGCCTGTCTTTCAGGGACCCTGTGAGGATAAACAAAACATGCAAAGACAATTTCAGTTACATTAAATAGAGAAAATCAAAGCTGTCTGAACACACTAGATAGAGATATCAATGATTAATCAGTGAACAACGATTTTATTAAATCACTTCGATTGTCGATTAATCAGTTCAGCACAAATGCGTTCAGTAATCATTGAAAGCAGATGCTGAAAACACTTATAAGATCAACAGATGCTGGTGCACATATTTATGTCCGCTACACAAATGCTCGGCTTGCATGAAAAAAGTAATAGGGGCTGAACATCACGAGTGCAGAAGCGCTTTAAGGAAAGATTATGTTCCATTTACAGTTGACAGAAGTATTACAGTAATAAACAATATATTATATTATATACATTGTCGGGCTGGGGGAATTAACGCGTTAATCTTTGCGATTATATTATCTTTGCGAAAATATAACGCAATTGACGCAGCACTTTCAAACGCAGAGTTCAAATTTCCGGCCGCCGATTTTCTCCATTTTGGGGTTTTGGCCGAAAGAGAAAAAGGCCGAAAATATGCTGCCCCGCCCCTCCGTGTTCGGCGATCAGGATCCATGAGCGGGTATTTTCCGCTCCGTGTGTGCGCCGTGCTCTCTGTTCCGTGTGTGTGTGCGCGCCGCGTTCTCCGATCCGTGTGTGTGTGTTGGGCTCAATGTTCCGCTCCGCGTTTGTGCTGCCGTGCTCTCCGTTCCGTGTGTGTGTGTGCGCGCCGCATTCTCCGTTCCGTGCGTGTGTGTGCGCGCGCCGCGCTCTGTTCCGTGTGTGTGTGTGCGCGCCGCGTACTCCGTTACGTGTGTGTGTGTTGGGCTCAATGTTCCTCCCCGCGTTCTGCTCTGTCGTTCACGGCCCAAACGCTCCAATCATGAACCGATCAAGCACTGGAAAAGCAAAGTCTGCTCAAATAAAGTGATATTTCTCAGTAGTGGACTTCTGTTTGCAAGAGCCCTTCTGAGCTGGTATAGCCATGCTGGGCAACATTGGTAAAATGACCTCCTCTGATCACATGCTCTGGTAATAATTAGCTTTGTAGCACTATACTTTATTTTGATCATTAGTAAAAAATAAATAGAATAAAAACCAGTTAAATCTGAATGCATAGAACTGAATGAATAATAATATATTGATGTTAAATATTATTTAAATATAGGGCTATTTTCTGTTCCTTTTTTTTCTGTGTTTAATTTAATTCGGTGATTCTACGTTTAAATATTGATGATTACAAGCTTGGGGGAAATGCAATTACTTGCAATTAATCACAGCAAATTGTGCAATTAATAAGTAAAAAAATTTTATCGATTCCCAACCCTAATATATTACTACTGTGTCATTATGGTTGATGTGCTGAGATGCCATATTGGAGTCAGAAGTCGGGGTTGTTGCGGTTTCTCAGTCCCAACTCTGACTTGTTCCAGTTAAAAGTTCCCACTGGGAACTAGGAATTTCCCACTTCCAAGGACAAATGGAGCGCACCATTATGCACACTACAAACACTGCGATCAAGTTCAACATGTCTTTATTTACTGTAATTCTGCCTCTGTCAATATTTCAAATATTTTGTTTGTTTTAATGAGCACCATGAGGGAGTTGCATCAGGAATTAAGATCTGATCACAAGCGCCCAGCCAACCCTTACAAATATATAAGTCTACTTCAAGTTAATTTTATTAAGTATACTTAAGTAAAGGTCAAGTATATTCCGGGATCCACTGCCGCTTCAATGTATATATATGTTTTTTTTATTTTTTTTTTATTTATAAGTTATTGATCAATAATCAATATTTTTTTCCTTCTACATATTAAATGAGTTGAACAACTTCTTCAAGCGTATGTTATTAAAGCACTAACGGATAATAATGAATATTGTCTGCACCTCCATAGAGAGAAAGAACATGCATTTGGTCATGCTCTGCTCTAAACTAGAGCCCGACCGATATGGATTTTTGGGGGCCGATGCCGATAAAAAAAAGCCAGATACCGATATATCGGCCGATATTATTTATGTGTATATTATAATACAGTAGCAATATTATGTATGTGTATTATAGTACAGTACCAGTCAAAAGTTTGGACACACTTTCCTATTGGTGTGTACAAACTTTTGATGGGTACTGTATATAGAATACACAGTATAAACAGAATAAATATATAAACGTTTTGCAATGATCACTCAAATGTGGTGATCAAACACTTGTGTGAAACAGATATGTAATGGAGACAGGGTGAATGATAGAATGATACATTTGAGCTGTAACCAAACTAGTTTGCATTGCATGTTATATTATATTATATTATATTATATTATATTCTTAATACTGTTGCATAATCTTTACTAACGACTTTGTCTTTTAATTTAGTCACGTTATATAAAACATAACATATCAATAAATATATCAAAAGTGTCACTGACAAAACCTTATTATTCAATTCAATTCAAATGCATTTGTATAGCGCTCTTCACAATACATATTGTTTCAAAGCAGCTTGAAGGCTCGTACACACCGGGACGAATATCGGCGCGCGTTATTCGGCAGCGTTATTCGGCAGTGTTTTTCAACGCGTTTTTTGTGTTCACACCCAAGCGATTTTCGCTGACGCTGAGCCGAGTGAACATGCCAATTCATTCCCTGACATTAGATGGTGCCCATTTGCTCTGCAATACCACTCCATAACAGTTCTCTTTTATCAAGATTTTTGTAGTCGCTGTCGCGTTTGTCATATAGTTCTTTATGTTCCGACACCAACGAGACCAGCAGCTCTACATTCATCTTGCCTTGCATCTTCCTCGTCTTATTTCTTCCCGGCAGTGTAGACGCTACTTGGCGTATATCTTCTTCGCCGTTATGTGTGCTCGGCAAGACCGTTTTGTGTTTGAGCGCCCCCAAGTTGTGTTTTACTGTAACTTCAGAAGCTCCAGACACGTGAGCAAAAGCGCCAATCTCATTGGTCGGATAGTTTTTGACGCGGCGCGTCAAACTAAAAAAACGAATCCGAGGCGTTTTTTAAAAAATGACGCTTTTACGCGTGGCGTTTTTCGCGTCGGTGTGCACACTCACTTTGGCCCCCTTTGTTTAGTCAGGAGGCGTTAAACGTCGGCGAATATCGTGCGCGAAATTCGTCCCGGTGTGAACAGGCCTTTACAGAAAGTGCATTTCAGAAATGTACAGTTACATACATTTAGTTAATCGTATTAATTTAATGTAAAATATTATCTTCTATTTTTAGTCGTAATTCCTCTAATCTCTACCAGTGGAGGAAGAACTCAGATCTTTTTACTAAAGTAAAATGATTTCCATTACACGAGAGTAGATGTTAAAACTTCATGCTGATTTGTACTCGGCTTTCGCCAAGATAAGCAACACTAAGACGTAGCTTTACAGTAAACTATGCTTCTCCATCCATTTACGCTTCTTTCCATAAGGTAGTGTGACTCCCCTTCTGTCCGGCGTTAACGGCAGCAGTGTACTTGGCACGTTAGCGCACGCAACGGCTGCAACTACAGGACCAGCACGACAACCGTCTGGATTGAACCGAGTAGGGGACATCTCTAGGGTCTTCAAGTGGGCACCTTCCGTCCTCAGTGTTTCGTCGACTAGCCCACGACACCTCAAGAGGGCTCGACAGTGACTCTGGCGTCCCAGAGTCACCCCCCTCCATCCCCCACTCAACTCAGCCCAGCTTACTGACCTCTACATCCCTCCTGCTGCTGAGACCTAACCACAATATCACAATCTCTCCGCGACCCAACCATACGCGCCAACCCGTTGACTAAGGCTGTCGAGCCCCACTGGTGCGTTAATATGCAGTTTCAGTGGACAACGGTTCCGTATGGCATACCACCTACCGCAAAACACAATATCTACCCAACCACCCCTCATTCACGCAATATCCACAGGAACGTATACAAACAAACCAACAGACTCTTCAAGTTTTCAAGAACTCTACGAAACCGTAGCGTGGCGGCCTGTACACAGCCAGCTAGAATCTTTCCGTCTCAACCACAGCCAGTTGCTGCTCCTTTCTGCTGCTTCAGATAAGTTCTTTACTGTGCGACGCAACTCTTGGCCACTGAATCCGACGTCTCTGAGGAACCGGGTTGTAGAGTGTGCCACAAAACCTCGACAACCCACTTCCACTGGATAAACCTGGACTCTCCATCCTCGCTGTTCTGCTTCAGTGGCCAGATGAGCATACCGCAGTTTCTTCCTCTCATATGCCTCATCTACCGCATCCTCCCATGGCACTGTTAACTCTATCAGTTGAACAATGCGTGCTGATCCAGACCACAAAACAATATCTGGTCGTAGGTTAGTGGTGGCAATCTCAGGTGGAAAAATAAGCCGTTGGTCAAGATCAGCCAGCATCTTCCAGTCCCTAGCAGCTTCCAGTTGTCCTGGGCGAGAATTGGTGTTAACACCTTTTCTTGGTGGTTGCTCGCCTGGGCGGAGGAATATTGTCTTCTGCGTGTAATGTTTTGCTAGAACAGGTGGCAACTTATTGGTCATGTTACGCTTGCCTTCTAATGCTAAAGCCAAACATCGTAGTACTTGGTCATGGCGCCAAGTAAACCGACCTTGGCTAAGAGCCACCTTACATCCTGTCAAAATGTGCCTTAATGTGGCAGGTGATGAACACAAAGGACAAGAGGGATCCTCTCCTACCCAGAGGTTTAGGTTCTGCGGTGATGGGAGAACATCATATGTTGACCTAATAAGGAAACTGATCCTACTCTCTTCCATTGACCAAAGGTCTTGCCAGCCCATCTTACGTTGTTCCACACTCTCCCATCTCATCCACTCTCCCTGCTTGGCCTGTGAAATGGCCTTTATACACCTCATCCTCTCCTCCTGCTGTCGCACCTCGTTGACTACCAGCTTCCTCCTTTGAGCTGGGCCTGCCTTGTGCCATTTAGGAGGAGCTAAACTGAGCCCAAAACCCCCTCTTCCATGCTGTACCTGTCCCACGATATCCCTAATTTGAAGG